GCCACGAATAAAAAGGGCGGGACGGCGCGGACTGCAGACGGAGCGGACTGGAAGCGGCTGCCAGGCGCCCGCTCGGCTCATCTCTGGCTCTTGCCGCCCCCTGCGTCTCTCGCCCGGGCAGACTTCGCCTCTTGGCCGTCCCCGCTCCGCAGCTTCTCCCCGCAGCCTTCGCTCCGGCTCCTGCGCTCCCTCTCGCGCGGCTCTTCGCCCTCCTGCTGCCGCCGGTGGTGGCGCGCTTCCCGTTTCCCTCGTGCCCGCAAGGTGAGTAAGGCCGTGGGCTTCAGGAGGGACAAAGCGCCCGCGGAGCAGGGAGCCTCGGCCGCCCCTTCCGCGCTATAGGGCAGCTGTGTGGCCCTCTCTCGTGGAAAGGAACCGCGGGCGTCTCTTCGGCAAGAGACTTCTCGTCTCGCAAGGGGAGGCTTGGGGCCAGAGGCCGAGAAAGGGGCGGCTGCGTTGAGGCTCCCGGGCCCCTGCGCCCGCGGACCCCCGGGCCCACCTCTCCGGACGCGCCTCTCCTTTGCGCGCAAAGGCAGAGAGACCGATCCCGGACGCGCACGGTTCTGGAGAAGTTCTCTCGGGGGACAATTGAAAGTACTGTACCGGGCTGGGCACGTGGAGAGTTGGGATGTCGCCTGAACTTTCTCACCTCCGCCAAGCCCTCTTCACTCTCTCTGTATTCATTTGCATCCCGCCTTTGATCACCCTTTTATCCTTGAAGATCTGCGGCTTTTTAAAAAAAGAAAAGTTTTTGTATAAAGCTATTGTTCGTTAGGTGTTAGTTTGTAATCGCTTGCTATTCCTAACATTTCCGTTTGCTTGTTAAACGTTTTCTCCTGTTTGTTTGTTAATATTAAAAAAAAAACTAGGCATGGGTTTGTAAATGTTAACCCATAAAATGGGTACCCATTGCGGTGTAGTGGATAGAGAGACGGACTAGGACTCTAGAGACGAGGCTTCGAATCCCCGCTCAGCCATGGTCACTCATTGGGGGAGTGGAACTGGTAAAAACCACACCTAAACATCTCACCTTGAAAAGCCCTGTTAGGATCACTAACTGAAGCACTTGAGGGTCTCCCGGAGAAAGTGTGGGATCTAAAGTGTAACCAGTTGATCAGTGGATTAGCAGTACGATCGATCCTACTGGTCCTACATCTAGGATAGTAGAGCCCACCAGCCACATCCAGAAAGTGCCATGGATCGGATTTGGGGTGTGTGTGTTAGGATATGAGGTCTTATGAAAAGTTGAAGGACTCATTATCTGAAGTAGTTTTCATCCCAGCCCCATAACATTATGGGATGTGGAGAGAGAGAGAGAGAGAGAGAGAAGAGAGATAAAAGACCTATCTCAACTAAGGAGGCAGGGCTCCCCCAGTAAGGCCATCTCCTATTCCCTTCAGACTCTCTTCCTCATCCAGGAAGCTTAATTATCATTCTCACAGATAAAAACTGAGGAGGGTTTTCTGCCCAACAATATATTGCTATGAGCTATCCCTCTTGGATAGGAAAAAAAAGCTATTTTGGGATGACCTGTTCTTCAGTAATACACCAAAGATGTAGTTTTGATGGATTATTGCAGAATGCAGCAGCCTGCATTTTGGACTCACCTTGCCCGTGGGGACTATGCTGATGATTGCCTGAATTTCAAAATTTACCTTCCACCAGAGTAAAGGATTCCTGCCCCACCCATCAGCAGACAGTTCCTTCCCCCAGAAAGCCATGATATTTTCTAATCCCCTTCCTTGCTTCTTCCAGGTATCTCCTTTATCCCTGGAATGATGATGCTCCCTCTGGCAGTGAATCACTTTACACTCCTCCACTTCCTGGCATGGCTGGTAGCACCCAGCTGGGCACAACGCCCTCACATTCAGCTGCGACTTGTGGGGCCCAGAAGCCAAGCTGGCGAAGGGCGGCTAGAAGTACTGTACAACGGGAAGTGGGGGACAGTCTGCGATGATGACTTCAACATCCATGTGGCCGGCGTGGCCTGCAGGGAGCTGGGCTATGATGGGGCCGAGAACTGGTCTCACAGCGCCAAGTATGGACCAGGAGATGGTAAGGAAGATTTCGAATGGGAGGGGCACAGTTGAGCTGGGCTCCCTTTGGGGCAACTATTTACAGCATCGTGAATGGGAGGGGCACAGTTGAGAGGGAATGTGGTACTGGACTCCCTTTGGGGCAACTATTTACAGCATCGCAGCTGGAAACTTCCAATGCGAATAGATACTGCCATTGCGCAGGTGCAGAATACAGGCATGTCCTTATTAAAATAACCACAGTCAGTTCCAAAGATGGGTAATTCTGTTGCTTGGATTATACAGTACCTTTTAAACTCCCACGAGTTCTAGTACAAAAAGGAAAACATTTCCCGTTTCTATTCCATTTCATGCGTTTAGATCATGATCCCTGGTTAGCAGTATCTGAGGAGTAGTACCTTCGCACATCGAGGGTACAGGACCTCCCCCTCAATAACTACACTGATGTGGGGTTGCCAAGGCCTTTTTTCAAATATCAGCTGAACGGTGACTTGCAACGGGTAGGAGACTATGGCTGGCACATCTCATTTTGATTCCTTCCAGCAAGAATGTTGCTTGTGGTCCTTTGGTAGGAAGTCCTTGTTAAGGTTCACTTTAGCTCTGTTTACTTCTCCCAGTGCCAGATGCTTTGCCAAGGAGAGAGAGAGATGCCAGCCTGGGATAGCACTAGTAACACAGAAATTAATTCTGAAATATGTGCACATGCAGGACTCTGGCATGCTTTTCTTAAACAAATAAACGTCTTTCTTGAATGTAAACTTGTCTCCGGGGCAAAGGGTAATGAAATGCCAGACACAACCCAGCCTTCCATGTTGCATATTCAGAGCACTAGATATCCAATATGTGTTTGCTGTTTAGTTGAGCCATTCCATCTGTCCAGCAGATCCACAAGTAATTCATGGAGGCTTGCAGACAGATTGACCTGATCTGATCTGTTTCCTCCTCACTCACCCACCAGCACAGTGAAATTGATGTGATAAGTCAGGTCTTTATCTTGATTGACAAATCCTTGTTTTAGTGTCTCAGAATTTTGTGGATTGGACAGCATTCCACAACTCAGCACAATAAGCATCCTAACAGGGAGCTGTGGCTCAGTTCATCTGGGAAGCGCTGGTTAATTGAAGGCTGGATCATGTGAGTCTTTCAGGAAGGGCAGTGACAGTGGTCTACAGAAAAGACTGGCCAGGGCTCCTAGTTCTGACCTTGTGTACTTACAGGTCCCATCTGGCTGGACAACATGCGCTGCTCTGGCACCGAGAGCTCCCTGGCTGAATGTGAATCCAATGGTTGGGGTGTGAGTGACTGCAACCACAATGAGGACATCGGTGTGGTGTGCACAGGTCTGCGCAGGCCCAGTCTTGCCACTCCACAGCTTCCAGGCCAGGTGAGGGCCCCTTATTGGGTGCTGGAGCTGTTATTTCTCCTTCTCCAAAGGAGGGCTCAGAGCCCAATCCTGAACCTGCTTCTTCGGGAAAGTCCCACACATTTTAATGGGGGTTTCCCTAAGGGGGAAAAGACTGAACTTAATTTGAGACTGCGGGTTGAATGTGGACAGCTGCGGTAACATGATTAATTTGTTTTGGCCAGGGATCCAAACTGGAAGAGGTACAGATTAAGCCAATCTCGGCCAGGGCCAAAATAAGTTCCCCCATCACAGAAGGAGCTGTGGAAGTGAAGGTCCAGGGACGCTGGCGTCAGGTGTGTGATGCTGGCTGGACTCGTAACAACACTCGAGTGCTGTGTGGAATGCTGGGCTTCCCCCGTGAAGGGCGGGTGGCCACTGGATTCTACAGGTAAGAGTACAAGGAAGGGAGGGAGGGTTGAACAAGATGAGTTATACAGCATGCATGCATACAGCATGGGAGCCAATATCTTGTACATCACCATGGGCAAGTTCTGGGTGCCAATCTCCCACCCCCAGGATCTACTATGATCCAGGCCACCCAACCCCCAAATGAAAAGAATTGCAAGAAAAAGAATCAACACTAGAAGAGGCTGACCTCCACGTTTTGTTTTGTTAGTTGGGTAGGGTATAGGAAAGCCCAGCAGAGAATAGATCCCATGGAACACACTTTGTCCACCCTCACTTTATGTGTGTGTGTGAATTAAAAGGGTATGCATGCATTAATGCAGAGAGAGCCGAGGGAGGATATTGGGTACTTATATATTACTCTTATACATTGCACCACATTAAAGCAACTGCTGTGCAAGCTGTGCAGGCCCAGGAGAGAATAGATCCCATGGAACACATTTTGTCCATCCTCACTTTATGCGTGTGTGTGAATTAAAAGGGTGTGCATGCATTAATGCAGAAAGAGCTGAGGGAGAATATTGGGTACATATACTGTATATTACTCTTATACATTGCACCCCATTAAAGCAACTGCTGTGCAAGCTGTGCACAAACTGGTGTGTGCGAATGGATCTTGGGGGCACAACAGCTTCTCTGTGTCTTACCTCAAATATCCTCTCTGTTTTTCACGAATGGCCTGTCTAATTCCTGTGGCTTTGTGGGTTCACTTTCTCCTTCACATTCAGAGGAGCCCATGTGCCTCTGCTTTTTTTTCTGCCCTTGTTTCATCTTCTGCACCCCACCTACCATTCTCTCTATAAATACAACCCTGCAATGAGCAGGTGTGGGTGCCAAGCCCATCTCACCATGGGGATCGGCCAAACCGCAGTGGGGTAATTACAGAGAAGACTGGGCTGACCCAGGCAACTTCCCAAGGGGAAACATAACCTGCTGTTTCTGGCTCTAGGCCTCTGTCTCAGTCCTCAGAGACTTACTTGGAGTCCAGTTCAACATATCCCCTAAAGCCAGTGCGAGCCATGGACAGATGTGAACCTGTCTTACTCAACCACAAGGGTCAATACAATTCAGCTAAGGATGCCAGGAGCCTTGGCAGGTCTGCACAGGATGCAAGGGGCAGCTGGAGTCCTTGCAACACTTGCCATAGCATCAGAACTTGCTCACAGGATCATCCATTCTAAGAAACAACAGTTAACAGAGGAATTTGCTTTATAGTAAGTGAGATCATTGGTCTGTCAAGCTCAGTACTGTCTACACTGGCAGGCAGCTTCTCAGGATTTCAGACAGGAACCTCTTCCAGCCTTAACTAGAAACTGACCCTCACACATTGTGCATGGAAAGTATATGATCCAATACTGAGCGATAGCCCTTTCTCAATAGGCAAAAGCTTTGGAACAGGAACTCGTAACACTTGTGTGCAGGATTACTGTCTTTTCCAGAAGGCTGCTTCCCTTATTTTTCCATAAGATGTGCTATTATGTTGAAACAGATGTTCAGAGTGAAACCAGAAACACCTCCTGAAGAAAACACTGGTATAAAAAGGCCATCTGGACTCACATAGAAGTAGCCCAAAAATAAATCTAGTCATATTCTTAACGCTTCTCCTTGCCCCCAACACTGATATCTTACCTTCTAACCTTTCAGGAAACTCTGGAACCAGAAGCTGAAGGATCCAAGGTCCAGGTGAGACATTTCTTGGTTTTGTCCTTCTGTCATGCAGTATTTAAAATGAAGGGAAAGGAGGTTTAGGGGTGCTAGGCCAGGAGAGCATCATCTGAAAAAGCTAGCTTGAAGCTGGATGTGCAACATCCACAACATCCACATTGTATTTAGGGAAGGGAAGCTTAGGAACGCTGTGACAGAGAACAGAGCCAAACTGTGGGTTACGGGGGATTCATTCATTACTCCTTTCTCATGTTTCTGTTATAACTGATCCCAGTGTGTGTCTCTCAGCAGTGAATTCTCTAGCACCAAGGGAAAACTGGCTGGTGAACGGTTCCACCTGCCTGCCCATCACCTCCAATCCTTCTTTTGCAGCTTAAAGTCCCTGAGCAAGAACAACACATTCTGGATCCATCAGATCAACTGTGAGGGCACTGAGGCCCACCTGGGTGAATGCAAGCTTCAGGTGGCCCCGAAGGGACGCAATCGCTCGGCCTGCCCCCATGGCATGCATGCCCTGGTCAACTGTATAGCAGGCCCCGAGTTCCAGCCCAGCAAAGTCAAGCTGCCTGGCTCAGCCAAGCCTAGGCCTAAGGAGGTAAATGGAAAATGACACATTTTCTGTTGGGGGAAATGGCCCCCATATTTCCTGGAAAGCAGGCCTGACGGTACAAACGCTGATTTATGTGGTGGAACTCTCAGACCTGCCAGCAAACTTTTTGCTGGAGCAAAAGCCAAACTATCTTTCTTTTGGTTCTTTTGTCTTCATCTGTACAGCTTGGCAATTACTTTTGGGGAGGGAAAGCTATAGGGATTCCTTGGCTAGTGGATTCTGAAAACTGTAATCCCAAAAAAGTGGCTTTGCCAAGCTCTATAGGCTACCACCTTTGGGAGGAGATGAATCCTGAAGTCCCTCTTAACCTCCCTTCTTCCGAGGCACTTGTCTTATGTCTGCTCCTAATCCGTCTCTCTGTTCCTGCAGAAGCCTCAGGTACGGCTCCGTGCAGGTGCACACCTAGGTGAGGGGCGTGTGGAAGTGCTGATGGGGGGCCAGTGGGGCACTGTGTGTGATGAAGGCTGGGACCTGACTGCGGCCAGTGTGGTGTGTCGGCAGCTGGGATATGGGACAGCACAAGAAGCCCTTTCAGGGGCCCAGCTGGGCCAAGGTGAGTGGAACACGGGGGGCCATGGAAAAATTGTGGGGATCACTAAAGTAGGCTCCAGGAATCAGAGCACCGGCCATAAGGAGAATCAGGACGAGGACTCGTTCTGCGTGGGTTGTCCACGACTTAGAAATATTCCATGGGATATCACATTCTAACAGGGGAGAGAAGGACATGGGAACGGAAATCCTGCAATTCTGTCAGAAATCTTTCTTGCTAAGAAAATAATAGTGGGTCTGGGGAGGAAAATATTAGATCAAGGAAATCCTAGAACATGTAAAGAGTTGGGAAGAAGAAGAGCCAGGCAAAAAAATAAGGTGTGTCTAGGTACCCAGTATCAGTGAAGGGAGGAAAGGATGGGCCATTCATAGCTTTTTTTAAAAATTAGCTTTTTGTACAGTAAGTCCCTGAAGACTCCAGCCAGCATTGTCATACTAGCTGGGGAATTATGGTAGCTGCAATTTTATCAAGCTCTGGCCACATTGTGGCACAGTACACAATCTGGTGACTGTTCACTCTGGCTAAGAGTCGCTCCTGTTACAGGTCTGGGTCCCATCCACTTGACAAGAGTGCGCTGCAGGGGCTATGAGCGCTCTCTGGCAGAATGCAGCTCCCAAGAAGCCAAACAGACTGGGTGCCGGCATGAAATGGATGCTGCTGTCCGTTGTAATGTGCCTCAGACAGATGCCCACAAGCAGGTAAGATCCACTGTACCTTGGCAATAGTCCTGTAGCCAAACAGGGAATGTGGTGAATAACACAGGGAGAAGACTGGATATCTTTCCAGACACAAATAGGAGAAGAGAATCTGATAAAATACCACTAGCCAAACCTGACCAAACAGGGAATGTGGTGAATAACACAAGGAGAAGACTGGATATTTTTCCAGACACAAATAGCAGAAGAGGATCTGATAAAATACCACTAGCCAAACCTGAATTCAGAACTAAAATGGGAAGTACTCTGGCCAGAAAAGTGACTTGCATTTGGGGGGCAGCAAAGATAGACTGCTGTTGCTTGATCTGTTTAAGCACCTGTGCTTCACACATCTCAGGACTCCTCTTGGATTCATTGTACATCGGTGAAGATGGCACAGCCTTGAGTACACTGGCAACCCCCCCGTCTCCCTCCATTTTTATTGCTCTACCCCATTAACCCATTCCCCCCTCCCCAATTTAGGTACGTCTGGCCGGTGGACGCAGTCCAGAGGAAGGTGTGGTCGAAGTACTGATGCCCAGGGGAAATGCCCTGCGCTGGGGTGCCGTGTGTGGGGAACACTGGGGACTCACGGAGGCCATGGTCGTGTGCCGGCAACTGGGGCTGGGCTTTGCTAGCCATGCTCTCCAGGTGAGTGCAGACCTGTTGCGTCGGATGCAGATGTAGCCGATCACAGAAGGGGTTCCTGAGACTTTCTGCTCAGGCACCCAGTGGAACATGTGAGGAAAGAGGCTTCATGGGAGACACTGCTGCTCATGTCCCCCTATTTCAGGGGACCTCACACTCAGACCCCCACTCATTTGCCTCTCTTCTCTTTTCCAGGAGACGTGGTACTGGCAAGGCAGCTCAGATGCGACTGAGGTGGTGCTGAGTGGCGTGCGGTGTAAAGGCACAGAACGTTCCATCCAGCAGTGCCAGCACCATGGGCCTGCGCACTGCCCGAGAGGAGGGGGCCGTTTCGCAGCAGGAGTCACCTGCACTAGGAGTGAGTGCAAATGGGAACTGAGCAGTCTGGGGATGCTTGGAGCTAAGCATGTGGGCTGTTACAGTATGGCAGCCATCTAGGATCTCAGACTGGAAAGCAGCCATGGTCAATTGACTTGCCTCCTGAGGGAAGGGAGAATGAGCCTTGACACACAATGGGGATCGATATGTAGGTGAATGTTGAAGGCCATGGCACCATGTGGACTGGTTGTAGCTCAGTGTTTAGAGGTGCTGTTTTCTATGCATTTTTGAATACCAGGAACTTCCAAGTAGGACTAGAGAAACTCGTGCATGAGGCCCTGGGGAGCTGCTCCTCCTCAGCGGCAACAATATGAGTCTAAATGAATCAACAGTTTCACTCAGTGCTAGGCAGTGCCTTCCATGTACCCAGATGCATATCTCTAGAGAATCTAATGTGAATGGATAAGGAGAACCAGTCATTTGGGCTCAAAGTTCCTCCCATCATCTCCACAAAGTTGGGCATTCTTGCATCATGGGACAACAGCATTTCATGTTTTCATACACTTTCACTTCTTCCTGCAGGTGCCCCAGATCTGGTGATGAATGCCCAACTCGTACAGGAGACAGCTTATCTAGAGGACCGCCCATTGCACATGCTGTACTGCGCCCATGAGGAAGGGTGCCTTTCCGCCTCTGCTAATCACATGAATTGGCCCAATGGTTATCGGCGACTGCTGCGCTTCTCCTCACAGATACACAACTTGGGCCGGGCTGACTTCCTGCCAAAAACTGGCCGCCATGCATGGATCTGGCACCAGTGCCATAGGTAGAGGGTATATTTTCATACATTATGGCCAGCAATCCTGGCATCATTACTATTTGAGGGATGCTAGTGCCTTCTCCTGCTTGTTTATGTTCTGGAGGAGAAAGCTAGATTTCAGGAAGCTGTTCTCAGTTTCTTTTTCCTGCAAATTAGCATTTTCTTTAAAATTGTGGTCCAGACACTTTTTCGTCCACCAAATCTAGCTGTGTCTGTTCCCTGTGTTCCAAAAAGCACCATTCTGCCCCAGCATGTTGCTTTGTGGTAGGAGCTGTTTGTTGCATCTGGGAAAATAGCAACGATCACACCAGGGTTGTCATTATGGGCAAAGTTTGGAGGCAGAACTATAATAGCTGCTGAGCCGACAGCCACGCCTAACCCTCCCACACTGTCCTGTTTCATGGATCAGCAGCTGCCTGTTCCTCCCTGCCACCACCACCCCCTTATCCAGCTGAACTCCTTTCTCCTGCACCCTTGCCATTTCCCTGCCCTACAGCATCCTCTTGATCCTCTTTCTTCCCACAGACATTACCATAGCATTGAGGTGTTCACGAACTATGACTTACTGACCCTCAATGGTTCCAAGGTGGCTGAAGGACACAAGGCCAGCTTCTGCTTGGAGGACACCAACTGTCCAGATGGTAAGCAGCTGCTCAAGGTAGAGACCAGAGATGGGCACTGACCACAAGGGTTGGCTCAGACTGTGATCTGGAGCTTTGGAAGATAGCCCTCTTCATCTCAGACCAGTTTGGAACCAAGCTGCTCCAATCTCATCCTGGAAACTTGACTCAGAAATCTAAAGGGTTTGCATTCCATTGGCAATCAGGGGAAATTTTAAAAATTGCTATAACGCATTTTCTTCATCATCAAAATAGGGTGAAATCTATGTGCATAGTAGCCTTTCATATCTGCCTAAAGGTAGATAAACTGGCACATCTTTCCACAAATTTGATAAAGCAGAGTAATGTCTAAATAGGAGGTGAAATCCATATGCATAGTAGCCTTTCCTATCTGCCAAAAGGTAGACAAACTGGCACATCTTTCCACATAAGTTTGATAAAGCAGAGTAATGTCTAAATAGGGCTTAAATGTCACCAGGCAAGAAAGCTGTGAATTTTCAAAAGTATACACGGAGAGGTTAGGGAACTGTAATGCTTGCAAAATAGTTTAGAGCTTTTTTAAAAAAATGAAGTCTAGTGATGCCAGAAGAATGGCCTTCTGGCTATGCAATCTTTGCTCCCCTCCAAAGCATAGCAATTGTGAAGGTTACGAGACAGTCTCAGAAGATTAGAAGGTGAGGCTGACAATCACTTATCCAGAAGCCATCTGAAGTAGCCAGATTTGGCTCAGGCTTTATTCAGATCAAATGGAGATTAGTAGTACAGGAATCTGTGACAAAAGTCAGAATCAACAACTAACAGAACCAGTTGCTGCTGCCACCATGTCAATCTTTACAACAGCCCCAATCTGGGATTTTTAGGAATGTTGAACTACCATTATCAGTGATCACTATCCCCAACCATGCTATCTGGGAATAATGGAAATCAACCCCAGGCAGCACTCCAAACCTCTCTGCTTCTGTTGCCTTGTGGCACAGTGGTTAAACTACTGTATTGCAGCCAAACTCTGCTCACAACCAGGGTTCAAGCCCAAGTAGCTGGCTCAAGGTACACTCCACCTTCCATTTTTCCAAGCTTGGTAAAATGAATATCCAGCTTGCATGGGAGTGGCAGGGGGCAATGTGTAGCCTGCATAATTAACTTACTTCTGCCAGTGTATTAGCTATAGGCAGATCAGTAGGGGGATAACTCCCCTGAAATTCTAGGGTGATGTGTCTACCCCTGCTAACTCCAGAGGTTGTCCTTGATTCAAACAAGGTAAAAATGCAGCAGCTTCTACAAGCAGAAGTTCATGGAAAAAGAAGTAGGTGCAGTGGGCTCTTCTTTGTTACTTACTCCATCATCCTCTTTCCAGGATTGCAGCGTCGTTTTGCCTGTGCCAATTTTGGAGAGCAGGGTGTCAGTGTGGGCTGCTGGGACACCTACAGACATGACATTGACTGCCAATGGGTGGACATCACTGATGTGCCACCTGGGAGTTATATATTCCAGGTAAGCATGGGAAAGATGCCTAGCCAGTGAGCTCTGGAAACAGAGATATCCCTTTCTCTGATGAGTCCAAAGAGTCTTCATGACAGTGAGCCAAAACATGTTGACACTTGGTCTTTGGTAGCTTTTTTTTTTAATTAACAGGGTGGGTAAGGCAGACCAGTTCTGGTCTCCTCAATTATAGGCCACCCATCCTACTATCTTCCCATTTCTCTCTGCACTTCTAGGTGGTTGTGAATCCTAAGCATGAGGTAGCCGAGTCAGATTTCTCCAACAACTCTCTTCGCTGCCAGTGTCAATATGATGGACACCGCCTCTGGCTGCATGGCTGCCGCACAGGTACAGACACAACTTGAGAAACCTGTGCTGCTATCAAGGAAGGCACAGTGTACCTGCACTGGCATTGCATTTTTTCTACTAATCTAGACCTCTCTTTCTCCCTTCCTTCACACGTAGGTGATGAATATGGCGTCATCGCGGCCTGGGATGAGGAGGCACAGCAGAGACTGGCCAGCAACTTGGTTTGAGGCAAACTTTCCACAAGGAATTTGGATTCTCACATTTTCCTGGGCCAAGATTTGCTTCATGCTCAGAGCAAAACAACAAGGGCTGTGGCAGAGCTACAGCTGACTCTGGGTGGCAAAAAGAACTACAGTCTGCTGAAAGGTTATCTCTGCCAGTCCCCCTTCAGTCTGCTTTGGATGTAGCAACAGCAGCAGCAGCATACAAACCCACACCCCCCTGTCACCCCTTGGCCCACTTACTAAAGCCCAACCGGCCTAGTCTGCTTCCGGTCATTTGTTGATACTGGCAGCTATGGACAGACACAGGGCTGCAGTGGGGGGAGGAGTGAAAGGCACAGGCTTCACCCCGACAACCAGCCAAGAAAGTAGCCGTGCTGAGCGGAGGTGTCTTCCTCTTGCTTCTCTGGCAGGAGGGGTGTGCAAGCAGCACAGCCCAGAACAACTACCTCAACCAACTCCATGTGCTGAAGAATTTGATCTCAGGAGCCTGGCTTGTTTGTGGACTCATGAGAGCTGCTGTGCCTACCACTCCCGCTCACCCCTTACTGTGGGCCCACTGCATGCTCAAGGGACCAAGGATCAACAGGCACAGAGAGCTGTGAGTCCAAGAAGTCACACTGATGCTTTGGTCATGGCCCAAGACAAAGGGAAAAAAAAGAAAGATAAACCACCAGTGTCACTGGTGTATGTCCACCTGATCTCTATGAGACCCCTGCCCACTACAAGCTATACATGGGACGTTCCTTAGGCTTAAAATTACTAAGGGGTTGTGGAAAAGGGCCTGGTACTATCTGTGGAATTATTTAATGTGCAATGAACTGTGATGGCCAATAACATGGAGGGGAAAGCATTGGACAGGGCCAATCACTCAGGGAAGAATCACAGTCCCTCTTCACCAAAGGGCTCTTTTTGGTGCCACATTTCACGGAGCTTAATTGTGTCAATAAAGGCTTTTTGAACCAAGCAGTGGTGTTCATGCCTGAATTCTAAGGTACTGGGAAAACACACTCGGGTGTTATAATCATCTTTGGGGAGGGGGTTGTTTCTTCTCTGCTCTGAGAGATCAGCTCTAGCCCCCCCCACCCATGAGGACCTTGGTGTTAAGTTGAACATGGAAAGAGTGTGGTCCTTGAGGAAAGAGACAACATCCATCATTCCATAGAAATAGGATATGGAGCACATAGAGCTTGCTATGGCCCAGCCTCTCCCTCCCTAGATGCAGCTTCCTGAAGGGTAACTGGGTGCAGCCAGGTAGTGGATACAGAGCTATCTGGAACATGGGGTGAGGCTGTTGCCACATGATTCGGGTCAACAAAATTGATAGCATACATGGTCAGAGGCACAACTTCTGCACAGTATAAAAGAGGTCACAACAGAGTGACACCTGCCACGCCCATCTCACTCCCTTGCAGTGATCACCTTGGCACAGAGCACAGCCCAGATAAATGGCAGATGGACAGCAGCAGCTTGCAATTCATCAGGCACCATAGGTTGGGGAGGGGGCAGCTTCTCCTGTGTCAAGGAACGAAGAGGAATGGGTGGGAGTGATTAATGCCTGCCTGCAGCAAAGGCAAGACCCTGCGGCCTTATCGATTTCCAGCTCCTGCAGCAGAGCTGTGCCAAGATGAAAGCTTTCCCACTTCATGTCTTCTTCACTCCTTCCTTGTTTGGCTACTGAAAATAAAGGAGGGTCTGTCCCCACTCTTACTTCTGACCCACAGTAGATCAATATGCAGCCAGAGCCCTGCTGAAGTGACTTTTTGTAACTCAGATCCAAGCCAGCCCAATAGCTTTCAGAGCGTATCTTGACCTAAGCAAGTAAGTAGCACATGAAACCACTCCACAAACATACAGTACACATCTAGTACCTCAGGAAAGTGAATGGAAGGAGTGAGGTATGGGGACAGGTGACTGGGGACCAGTTTGATCACCAGAGCACTACTCAAAACATTTCAGGAAGCTTTTCAAGAAAAAGGATGCAGAATATAAGAAGTTCCAAGGAAGACAAGAAACAATTCTGTACAGTATTTAAGATGTACAACAGCATGTCATAAACTCTATGAGGATGGCTGTTGTAGGTTTTTTGGCTGTGTTCTGGAGATTTTTCTTCCTAACGTTTTGCCAGTCTCTGTGGCTGGCATCTTCAGAGCACAGGAGCTAGAACTCTGTCTATGTTCTGGAGTTCTAACTCCTGTCCTCTGAAGATGCCGGCCACAGAGACTGGCAAAACGTTAGGAAAAAAAAAACCCCTCCAGAACACGGCCAAACAGCCCAAAAAACCTAGAACCACCATTGGATCCCAGCAGTGAAAGCCTTTGAGAATACATTGAATGCCTCTATGAGGATGCCTTGGTGGCCTTTCTCTCCAACATCCATTAGCTGTTTTGTCAAATAATAATATCTTGGAGATGTAACAGTGAATGGATATTGCGGGGAACATTAGAGAACTTAATTGTTTCTTGTCCTAGCACCATGTCTCCATTGTCCAAGGCTTCTTCAGGTAATGAGGAAAACATTGCATTTTGCTATTGCCAATCAACACCCTGCAGGATGGACTTCAAGCTGAGCAATTTGTTGAGGCCTGGCTGAAGGAAGTGACAACATTCATATAAATCACTGCACGATGTAAGACGCCTTTGTGATTTCCTCCTAGATTTGGGGTTTGAGTTGACAAAGCAGCCTAGCAGGTATTTCGGAGCAATGGCCTTTCAAGAGTGAGAAATGCACATGGGATAGAGAAAGCTTCCACATATCAATTCAGACTACTGGTTTTATAGCTCTATATCGTCAGTGCCCAGGATGTACAATGACAGTGTATCCCGGAAACAATTTTCTGATCCCAAAATCCTCTGGGGACTCCAGAACAAGACATATAAAATGCCTGGAATTTCACTTCCAGTTTTGACAAACAAGTATTTGGAGGTATTAAACACTGTGGGGGTGTCATGTGACTTTTTAATAACATGAATCTAGATGCTTTCAGACCCAGTAAATCTCCTTTTTTGGCTTGGGAAAAACCTCTTTCTGGTGGGGAAGCTGACAGGACAGGGAGAGCCAGGTGCAGTTCCTGGAGCAATGCCAATCCCCAGTCTGCTCTGACTGGCAGCAGCTCTCTAGAGCCTCAAACAATAATCTTTTCCAGCCTTACCTGGAAATGACTAAGATGGAACCAGGCGTTGTTTGCATGCACAGTGCATTTTCCACCACTGAGTGAGAGATCTTCCTTTCACAAGTGACAAACAGTACACTTTGGGCTGGAAATCAACAGTCTGAATGCTCCTATGGCCCATCACCAGTGGCCATTGCTCAGCATCAACTAGGAGCCTTTTGATTATCTGGAATGAGGTGGACGTTTGCGGCAGAGAAGGCAAAACTGTTGTATGTATCAAGGCCCACCGTGTATCCCCTCAGCTCACCTGCTGCTGTGAGGATCTGGGTTGCAACAAGGCTTCCCCTGCACCACTGCCCTGGCAGCTGCAGGATCAGGACCAGCTTGGCCTTAGTGTTTGCAGGATAAAGCCCTGACAGGTCAGCAGCTGCTGGGGCTCTCATGAGGCCCACCTGAGAGTCCTGAGGGAAGGCCTACTTAAGGAAGAACTCTCTCTTCCAGAAGCTGCCTCAGCAACATAGGTCTTTAGCTGTGCTCCGGGTTCCAGTCCTACTTGGACTGATCCTCAATTCCTGCTCTGGCTCAGTGCTTCCACTCCTGTGGCCCAGTTCCAGGGCTCTGATTTCCACTCCTGTGCTCCTATCCTAGCTAGTTGGACTGTGTGCTCTTGGCTGTGTGCTGGTGCCCTTGTCCCTGGTGTTGAAGGCAACTGTGCACCCAGCTGCTCATGGCTGCTATGGACAATACCATCCCATTGCCAGTGTTGAAGTTACAATTCAATTCTCATAATTTGGTGCCATCTTGCCCTTCACCTGAGGAAGCACAAAGCCTTGGGCCAGGAGTGTACCAGAAAGGAGCAGCTTTCAGCCACTGACATTCCAGATGTTTTGACTTCCATAGTGAGAATCCCTGACCACCAGCCATTACAACTGGGGCTTCTAGATGCTGAAGTCCAAGGCAGCTGGATGGCCCAAAGTTGAGCACCACTCTCCTAGCACACATCCTATACTTTGCTGTAACTTGAAACTACAGAAGGAAATCGGCAGCAGAGGCAAGTACTGTATCAAGGAAGCATCTCTGCGGTTACTGATCTTTTTATCAAGGAACCTCAAGGTTCAACAAAATGCAGCTTGAAAGCCACCATACAAGGCTTTTCAGCAAGGAATGTAAAACAAGAAGAACATCTATAAGCATGTGGGAGGTCAACAGTGTTCTTAGCACTTTCTCCTGATAGTCAGCTAGTCATGTCATGGTTCAGAAGTTTCCTGGGTGAGGAACTATACATGAAATCCACATTTATGCAACTACAACCTCCCAACTCAATGTCTTCCTAACATTTTTAAATAATAAAGTGATACTATCCAGAGTTTGGGCCACCCCCATCCCATGATCATTTTGAACAGCTTTAGTGTTAACATTGCCTCTAATCAATTGGCTAAACATTTCCAGTAAAAGGAAGCACAGAGGGAAGGCACAACAAACTGTAAGATGGGGAATGGGATAGTACAGTGCTGTACTGATTAGGGTGTCGGACAGGAATGTGGGAACTCCATATTCTAGGCCCCACTGATATATGAAACTTACTGTGCTTGCTTCTCACTCCCGGACTGACCCAGTCTTTGTAAAGACAAAAGAGGAGAGGAAGAGAATTCTGTATGTCACCTTGAGTTGAAAGGTGGCATGTACATATAAGCTGATACAGTATTTGAATTCTCCTATATCCCCAGACACGACTTAACAACAACAAAATATCCCGACTCCGTTTTGCTAATCTCAAATAATTTTACTCCCTAGTTTTTAAAAAACGTTTCTGCTTTTACTTCCAACAAGCCTCTTCTTGATCCACCAATTTACATCCACCCATCGCTGAAACCTTATTAAGCATTGCAGAAAGCTACTTCATCACCGACAACTTCAAAAGTATTTCCCCTGCTTTTAAAATTCTCTTTCCTACTCAACTCTGTTTGTATACGTAACATTTCCCCCTCCTTGATCTCTTCCTCTCCATCTTCTTAGTCACATTTCCTTTGGAACCTGACATTCCTTTGGTACCTCTTCCAAAGGGTGGGGTCTCCCACTTTTAGCTGCTTCCTAAATTAAACTGTGGCTGCTTTAATTGCCACACTGCTTAGATCTGCCCACTTATATTAGTTAATGTTGCTGTTTAGACTGCAATAGCCCCCCCCCACCTCTTGTTGACATATTTCTAGCTGTTCATCTCTATTTCAAGTCACACTAAGAAACAGCCAAGTCACCTTTCGCAGAATGCTTGGAATGAGATAGAAAAGGGGATTCAGGATGATTTCATTTTCATGCTTTGGATATCTTCCCATGACCTTCCAGCCACTCTGTTTTTCCACCTGCATCTCTTGCTCTTTGCTGTATTGCCCAATTATGTATCCATTTTTAAAATAACCAGATACTGTACATCCTTTTCTGTGTTCTTTGCTCCGCTGACTTCCCCACCCTCAACCATACTTTTCCCAAAACAAAAGTCACCTGTTTTCCTTTGCTGTCTCATGTTTAGAAGTTATGATGTCACTTCTCTTGCTTTCTTCAAATTCTGCCTCAAAACAACCTTTCTACAGGCTTCTTTCAACTAACTTTAATTAGTGTTTTCATCTAGTACATAAGGAGGAACTAATTTTAGTTTGAAATTATTTTTTTACAAAATTAACAAACCCACCTTGCCTATGGCCTTTGATAGAAAACTGCTAGTTTCCATGTTTTGCTATTCACATGGGTCTGTAACCAAGGCTGAGCCAACAAAACAGAAATAGCCTCATTTTGGTTTCCTATTTACCCTTCTTTTTGCTGCTTCCACCCACCACTATCTTTGTAGTGGGAAGAGTTGACTGCAAACTCTTTTACGCAAGAGCCTGTCCTCTAACATTTTGCAATGCAAGACACCTTGAAAGTTATTCTAGAAAAGTAACTTTCCCAAACATTGGCTGATTACATGGAGGGTATTGTAATCAACAAAGCAAAATAATATCTCCTTTTGGATGCTTCTGTCACATGAAAGGGCTCCTTTGGCTTTTGCTCCTTCATTTAACTTCACGCTGACATCCATGTATATGCCTGGAATTCATGAGATCACTTAGAAGCTACTGTCTAACACATTCATCTTCAAAGGTTCATAGCCTACTTTTCTGCAAAACTGTGGCTGTGTGGAAAAGAGGGATCATTTTGTTCACACTGAACCTCACAAAAAGTCCCAGCAGTTATCTGCAAGGTTATTCACACACATCCCACAAAACAACTGCAACAGAATGGTTTGGGTGGGGACTCTGGTAACAACTGTGTCTTGAACGCTTAGGAAATGCTGTTTCTTGTCCAACAGAAGTGCAACCTTGAGAAATCATGTGAAGGTTTTGTACAAGAGGTGAACAAGAAATGCACATTTATTGTGCAATAAACTGATTGTACAGAAAGGCTCTAGAGACCAAACTGAAGTCCAGAGCAATGAATTACTGGGACTCATTAATAGGTGGGCAAAGATCCAAAACATATTCTCAACTAGACATGGCACAGGAGATTCATGATTAAGATCTCCTGGATTTTTGTACTATAGTAATTAGCATTCCCAAATGACTGCTTTGAAGATGGGACAAGTGATGCTTTATCACGAAGGTGTTTAACCCCTTTCCTGATCCAAGTCATACACATTGACATTGATACTGGACTAGGGGTAAGGAACAGTTTGACAGGTGTACATGCTGTACCTATCTTTCAATTTAGTCTGCAAAGATAATAGCTGCTTAGGCAGTGCAGAATTTAGACTAGGGAAAGAGCTAAGCCTACTTCCCCCAGAGGGCTACTTTTGCTACTTCTCCTATCTCCAAAGGAAACATATGGGGCCGCTAATTACTAAGCATATCTTTTTTAAAATAGCAGGAGATTCTAAACATTGATGCCCTGCATCACATTAAGTTTGGCTGTGAAAAGCAGTAAATTCATAGCACTGGTAGGAAGGTGAATGTTACTGCAGTGTGCATGTCATTTCTGCTTCTTAAAATTTTATAGTTTGAATATACCCAGAAGAGTCAGTGGACTATTTATGGCGTAGGAAAACCTTCCTCAGCACACCCTCTACTTTGTTTGACTACAAGTTCTATCTTTCCTATCCTACATAAAAATAGGTTTGATGGGAGTTGGAATCCAGAAGCCTTAGTCAGGAGAAGGCTGTATAATTGAGAAGGTCAGAAGATGCATCAACGATGTGGTCTCAACCTTCTGAGGCTGCATCAGCTGCTTTCCTGGATACGGAATTATTCTTCCAAGTCTTGGTCTCAACAGAGCTGAGTTCAAAGTTCAGGAAGAAGATTTTTTTCTGATGAAGGTTCACATCTACCATTAACATTCCTCTCCAGTGAACAGGAGGCATACCACAAAATTTGTTAGTGTTTCAGGCTCAATGCACAGGGAGATGTCATTTTATTAAGGGGAAACTGGAGTCTGTGCTCTCATCAGCACTGGCCAGGTCACAATTTTCCAAGCTATTGACCTTGCCAACAATTTACATTCTACCACTGTAGGCTCTGATCAGTGCTGGCTTGGTAACTCTTAAGGCTGTACCTCCCCATGTGTAATATTACTTCAACAAACATGTGTTATCTTGCATATATGAGTAACTGTGTACTAAACTGATGAAGATGGGCTAGTATGATAGGGGAGTTAGAGTTTATCAACAACCTGTACAGTGAAGACATCAAGCAGCTGTTGCAACTGAGCCTTTCTAAGAGGGACCAGCAATTAGAATCATGTTGGCTTATCGAGAAGGTTGTGTAGCCAAGGCCCACTGTAGGACTAATCGCCAGGAACAGGTGGCATCTAGGATAACCGCAAGCCGTTTACTTTGGCGGTCTTTTCAAGAATGTCCCGCAGCCCAGGAAATTCTTGGCAGTAACACCAAGGGCAGACTGTTCATCCATCCTATTCTCAAGAACCTTTGAATAAGTGATGGGACCAGAATTCCCAGACCCTCCTAGCAGAATGCCCCACGAAACATCTGCAGAATGAAAAGTGGATCACCTCTACCTTAAATAAGGCTCACTGCTGTCCTGCATGTGTGGTTCAAATTCTACAAATCTACCTTAAACCAGAGTCTGTCCCATTAAAATTAGAGACACTGATCTCTGAACAAACATGCTTAGAAGTGCTTCATTATCCAAGGAATACACTTACAAGAAATTGAACAGACACATCAAGACTATTATTTAATAGGAAAGTAGCCAAAATAGAGTCATTTAAAGGCTTTGATGGAAACTGCTCCTCTCCAAAGTTATCCACAAGGCATGGATTGCTCCTCTCCTTTCTAACCTTTGAAGCCAAGAATCTCTGCAGGCTGCCAAAAGTCATAAACGGGATGGGACACAGTTTAGCTGCTACACTGTATCAGTATTTAGTGTATTCAGTTGGCCCAAATAGACCTAGCTTGTTTTAGGGAACATCTGGGAGGGCTGCACAGGCCAGGCCACACAAACGGGGGGTGTAGGGGGGGGTCTGTGTTACAGGCCGCTAGAATTGCCAGGAAAAGCAATGAGCACCCATCTGTCCCCATTCCAGAAGGCTACCCACATCATAGGCATGTACTCCACCCCTGCCTGAGCAGAGACATAAAGAGAGAGCTGTTTTCAGGCAGGGAGATGCCTGCAAACCTGGCCAGCCGGAAAACACATGGCCTGCCAGCACATTCCAGCCCTGACAGGCATCTTGGCCTACCTTGACCTGACCCCAAGCACCACTAAACAGGAATGGATTCACATCCAGATCCAACACGTCTCATGTAGTGTGTTCTCAGGCTCTTTATTCTCCCTCAGACCCTGCCTTATGTTAGACACCACCGCCCCTCGAAGAACTAGCCAAGAGGACTCTGGCTCCACATCAGTCCCTTCTCACTATCCCTTCTTCTCTAATACCCCATGAATCACAAGCTCCTACCCAAAGCCTAGTCTGGGACATGCCGTGCTGTTTTGGTATGTGGACCACCATTGCATCTGCTCTCATGAAGGAAAATCCTGCTGGGATACAGTGACAATCAAGCAGTGACAGCCAAAGATTTCTAGCCAAATCTCAGAGAGCCAAGCTGACCCTCATGTATTGACCCTAAACTCAGCTGGGAGTGTCTCACCACAGGAATCTCTGGCCCAGCTTGGCAAAGGTGTGCCGTCAATGATGGTTTACAAGGAAGTGGTCAATCTGCCTGCTACTTAGGCGGCTCTAACCCAGCTGCCTTGAACAGAAAAGACTCTGTCTGTTGCTTCTCAGGGAGCATTCCTGAGCAGGCCAGTGCCTGTCAATGGAAATCCTAACTTTCCTGCGAATTGGCCAGAGCAAGCATCGTTGTGCTGGCACCTCGCATCCAGCACTTATGAGCCATCAATTCAGAGGGTGGGCAAGATGTGTTGCAGGAGGCTCCTGTCAACCCTTTCCTGCCACAAGGAGGGGAATCCCACCAGGACAAAGAGCCTGGTGGCATAGCCCAAGGTCTGTGTTTTTGGCAACAAAGTCTTCTTTGCTACCCACTCTCACATCCCATATAGGCAAGAAGCTACTTTGGCCTTGACACCAGCTCTTTATCTTAATGTAGCTGTATGAAGATTCTACTAATGAATCCCCACAGGACGACAAATAAACAAACAAACACACACAGTTTCTGTTACGAAAGAGTCAGTGTGGTGTAGTGGTTGAGTGCTAAGTTGGGATTTGAGAGACCCAGATTCAGATCTCTGCTCAGTCATGAAATCCACTGGCTGATCTTGAGCCAGCTGCATTCTCTCATAAGGGTTGCAAAGTGGAGAGGAAAGTAATGGACACCCCCTTGATTCTCACTGAGGAACACACGTAAGTATCAAATAAAAATCACTGTGCTTTATGCACTTCCTCCTGACCTCCAGTCAGTATCCAGACTTTCTGAAGAGTCTGGAAAAGAAGGGCTTAAATTCTGCTCCATTATAGAAATGCTACCTATGCGGCACTGAGTCATAAAATAATTTGCAGAGTAACTTGCAAGCAGTAAGGTGCCCTGTATCATACACATAATACAAGGCAAAACTCTGAAAAAACTTTAATAGCAAAACTCAACAGTGTCCACCTGGCCATCTTTAGTGAGCTTGTTCCTCATAGCTGCCATCATTCAGTCCTACTAAGCACAACACCTTGCACGGTGTTTTGTTGCCTGCAACAACAAATAGGCACTGGATGCATGACTGCTAAAGATGACAGTACATGGGTATTTGGGTTACATTTCCAAGGCACACATGCTGGTAGGGAACAGTGGCTGACCCAGGCCTTCAGTCATCATTACCCAGGTGGCACCTCTGGCTCAGACACAGCCAATCTCCAACCCCACTCTTCCAGGGGCTCAGATAAGCCCAGCAGGGATGCTATCTGGGACTAGCCATCCCACTCTAGCAGCCTTGGCTACTCAGGGTCAGTCACAACGGGCCGATATCTTGCTGCTCAGCCCAAACGGAGTGGCAAAATTCCCAAATGCCACAAAGCATAGTGTCTGCCCGTTGCTGTCAGCATCTGAATGAATAAATGTGGTCACCGCTCCTGTGATGATGCTGGCTCACTCACGGCCTTCCCAGGCATCTTCCCTCTGCTTGGCCTCCAGGCGCTTCCGCTCTGCGAACAGAAAAGGGACAGGTGAAGCAACACTCTCACAGGGCACAGTCAGTCTCTGCAGGGAAGGGCTGGCCTTAGAAGGTGCATGAGGTGACCAACCTTCACCAGAACCCCGGTGTGCTCCTGCTCTCCTTCTTGGCATCCTAAGCACTGCCACTGTGGCATGCCACACCATTTTCCTCAGCAAACAGTGGTCAACCGCCATACTGGCACTAAAAATTACATGCCCTGTGCTAAACCCCTTCCATGTTGATATGTCCTTTACTCTCCTCTCATCCACAATGCCTTCCTGCAACATTCCAGTGAGGTGCATTTCACCTGCATTAGAATCAGAGCTTCTGCTTGGTGACCCAAAGGAAACGTTAGTGAACAGAGAAGAACAGGGAGACTGCAGAGTTGGCACTGACAATTAAAATAAATGAGCTGTTCCTATGCATGACTTATACTGCCTCCTGCAGCTGGGCCTGGCTCCCAGTTCTGTATTTTGGAGCAGACATCAGGACTAGAGCACCACCTAGCGTCCAAAATTGTACCGTGCATACCGTGAATGCCGTTTTCCACAGATCTTTTTCCCTAGAGTGATTGGGCAAACATGCAGATTCTATATCAAGGCAATACTTTTATTAGGCCAACTGAAAAGAGCATTTAAAAGGGTGTGAGCTTCTAAGCTCCTCAGATGTGACCTGATGAAGGTATCCTGGGATCATGACAGTGGTACACATTTTTATGCTATTTCTTTGGTCGGGCTAATAAAGAGATTGCCTTTTGGGTTTTCCTATATGACAAACATGGTTGCCTCCACCTTCTGTACAGTCCCATTCAGCTATGCTATAAGCACATGTCATCTATACGTAAGGAGGGGAGTGCAATAGGTCCCATCCCCTCCACTTCTGTTTTCAACACGTGGCAGTGATAGTCTGAAGAGAGGGAGCTCCTATATCTGGGTAGCCTTTCTTGCATGAGCCAGAAGCACCCCCAAATCAGAGTTCTGGCTTAAATGAAGAAGTTGCCTTGACACAGCAGCCTGCCTCTCTTCAGACAATGGCTTCTGTTTCCTGAAAGGGACGGTAGAGTGGCTGGGGAAAGCCTACTCTCTTCATTGCATGTGGATTATACAGGCTGGCAAAACAAATGTATACAGCTTATAAACAGGGAAGCACCCCACTCCCTGTGCCCTCCTCTTTTATGGGCATGAAGTCAGAGCTGTAAACTGATCTTGCTGTATCAAAGCCCCTCCACCACCGTTCAACCTCAGTAAAGTCAAGGAAAAGAGGAAGCACAAATCCTGTACTTTTGTGCAGTCACTAAGAGGGACATATGAAAAGAGAGAGAGACCTAGCTGAATAAGGGTGGAGAGAGGGGGAAAAAAACCCATGAGGCTCCAATAACCTGGGAATCATATACAGATACACACAGAGAGAAAACGGGTAATCTGACACAAGAATTATTCTCACACGCTGTCTTCACAATACTATCATGGGCAGCGGTAACAACACTGGAAACAAGACAGCAATTATTGGATGCAAATCCTATTCAAAAAGCTAAAGCTATGGAGAAAAATGATCTTTAACAACTTACGATTATGGTGGGAATGTCACAGAGACCTAGAGTAATCAACATCCATACTCCAGTTTCAAAAGAACAATTGGGCAGGGGGTAACAGAGTTAAAGACATTCTATATAAAAGGAGTTGCTCAGAACACTCCACAGGAAAAAAGTGGAGCAGGGGGAGTGGAACGCAAAGAGGAACAGGTGGGGGAGTTTTGAATTGACAAGAATTATCAGGGAGAAGAAAAGACTGTTAGAAATGGGGGGGGGGAGAAATCACATGAAAATTTATCAGCTGAACTGACAAACAACTGTCAGCACATTTTTGACGTGCAAAAAGCTGGTTGTTGAAAACAGACACCTACAATGACTTGCATGGTTAATTACTTGCACATTGTTTTCAGGGCTGCCTGAAGGGTCTGCATGAGCCTGAAAAGCAAGGCCAATGAAAGCCAAAACCTAGCTTGACTTTTGAGAATGCTGATCCTATTAACCCACCTCTAATCTCTTCACCCTGATCTTTGTTTCCAGGCTCTACTGCAGCAACACGAAGGATTCAGCAGTTCTGCCCCTTTCCTTCTCTGATTTAGGAGGGAGACTTCAGAAGCCCTGTCCAACTCTCCTTTAATCTGCTTTGCCTTCTGCAATGCAAAACGTGTTTGCTCTGGGTAAACTGAAGACGAGCAAAGAGCTCGAGATTCCAGCTCCTCTGTATGCTCCAGCATGAGATAGGATAGTGGGTCTTCAGAAACTCTCTCTGCACCCCTGAGTCAGCAAGCTTCTGTTGTGGCTGGGGTTGCAGCGGTGCACCGGTTAGAGTGCTGGGTTGAGTGTTTACAGCTAGTCCCGGATGAGCTATGAAACCCATGGGGGTGACCTTGGGCCAGCCCCACCCTGTTAGCCTATTTCACATCCCAGGGTTATTGTGAGGACAGAGTGGGGAGAAGGAGAGTTGTGAACGCATCAAAGGAAAGGTGGGAGATAAATGTAACTAATCAATAAGTACAGTTTTCTATACATGTAAGACAGCTACAGAGGCTGTAAAGGGGGAACATAATCAATAATGCACAGCTTTTGCACATTTATTTGAGAGAATGTATCTGCTTCTAACTTTCATAAACAATTAAACCATTTGTATCCCTTCTTTGCTAATTCAATCCAATTGTTTATTCTCTAACACTTCTTCTCTTTGAGCCTAGACTGTGATCCTAGCTCCTTCATTCCATCTGCTGCTACACGTATGCCAAATAGTTTTATGGAGTCAGACATCTCAGTTCATCATGGGTATGGTTCATTTTCCATATATATACAGGTGTGTAAATTTCAATCTGGGAAAACCACCCAAGCGAGATTGGGAGCTAAACTAGGCAAATTGTTCTGAAGATATCCTATGAATGTGAGAAGATGATGAGAATAAAGGACTAGGTGGCACCAGAGATACAAGTCCCTGTTACCTTCCCTGTTTCAGAGGGATGCTGCTACGTGCAGTTCAGAGGCAGGACAAGAACTTGCATTCCCAAATGCCTCCAAGCTGTCCTGCTCTAGCCAATTCTTGCTGACCAGTACAGTCCTCTCTCCTCCACCAAAGGAAAGACAGGCTGGGAATGTACAAAGACTTCCCTGGTCTAATTACTCTTTCCAAACAAGTATGGTGAAGCTGTGCATGCCCCAGCTGGGCCGGCATGCTCCATCACTGTTATCTGGCTGGCGCAGCTGAAGGGCAGGCAGAGAGCCAGCTGCCATCACACCACAAAGGGACAGGGACATATAGTAGATACAAGAAGCAAGGGACGGCAGGATGACCAAGGAGGGGCCACCTCTCTGTAGCCTTCCTGTGCCTTGGAGCATGCTGGAGGAGAGAGGAAACACTACTCTTGGCTGAGCAAGATCCTCTTGCTTTACACACTGTGCAGCAGTGCAGAATGCATTCCTTGCACTGCTGCTGTGCCTTAACAGCAACAGAGCTCAGAAAAAGATTTCCTTTTTGGCCCACACCTCCTAGAATTCTTCAACCAGCAGGCATCTTTCCATTTCTGCCAATAAGAACATGGAAAAGTCTGGATGCCATGGGGTGAGGGGGCTAGAATGCCCCCTGCTAGCAGAATGTCCCTGCATGCTCCGGAGGGGCACACATGGTGCCTCTGCTGACCCAGATATACAGTGGAATCCACTGGCTGCTCAGGAGCCTCCCTCTAGGACCCAGACAGACAGAGTTGGCTGTGTGACAGCAGCGAGGGGGCATGGCTGGGCCCAGCTGACTTGTCATCCTGCTCTGAAGCCAAGAGCTAGGCCAGGCACACTCCCCAGGGACTCTTAGAATGTCAGCAGTAACTGAGAGCAGGACAGGCAGAGGTTGACATGCAGAGAAATCCCCCAGCAAGCCTCACCTGTCTTCTCACTGCCTGAATTATACAACATCAGCTCCTTTCTTCCCATCCCAAAATTACCCTGCAGTGTTGTCCCACCTCCTTGCTCACCTCGGGCTGCTTGCAACTGCTTGCGCTCCGCTTCCCGTTCTTCTTTGCTCTGTTTGCTCCGCATCCCAAGGGCTCCTGCCACCAGCCTCCTGGCCAGGGTAGCTGATGTCTCTGGGCGTTCTTTGGCCGGCTGCAGGAATTCTGGAGGGAGGAGCAATGAAATATCAGGAAAAAACTTCCTAATTGTTAGAGCAGTATGACAATGGAACCAATTACCTTGAAAGGTTGTGGGCGCACACTGGAGCCATTCAAGAGACAATTAGACAGCCATCTGTCAGATATTCTTTGATTTGGATTCCTGCATAGAGCAGGGGGGTGGATTCAGTGATGTTATAAACCCCTTCCAACTCCATTATTCTATGATTTTGTGAAAGTACAACAACTACCTCAGCAGTCAGAGTTAGCATAAAGTTCCTGTTCTCAATGCTGGAAGAGGAAGGCAGGAGGATTCAGGCATTCAATCCAGAATGTGAGTCCTTCCTCAAAATCTGTGTAGCCTGAAATGATACCAGAGGCTGCTAAGTGGCACAAGAACATAGGTCCAGCCGTGACCTGGATCCCATCCTGTGCCACATTCATAGCAGGACAGTGGAAAAGACTGAGAGTATCTTTGATAGATTTCACCATGGAACTCAAGATACACTACAACAATAGCCAGAAGAGAAAGCCACTGGGCAAACAGAATATACACAAGTGTTAGCAACCTCCACTCTTGACTAACTTAGGGCATTGAATCCTGCTGCACACACAGTCTCCCCTCCCTTCTTCACAGCCCTACAAAAAGGCTGTGTGGCATGGATAATGCCATAGACTTTTCAACCGCCTAAATATTACCTGGCATGAAACTGAGAAGCCAGCATGCTGACTGGCTGTGCAACCAACATTGTGACTGGCATGCACTAATACTAGAAACAGGACTGTTCACTACTAATGGGACACATTTACCACCAGTAATGGCAGTTGCTTCATCCAGCAGGCAGTTGTTGGATTTGGGAAGTCCAATGTAAGGAGAATTTCAGCAGAGCAGAAACTTGCACAGTTTTTATGGCTAGTGATCACATTATGTTCGTTCGTTCGTTTCGTCGTTTAGTCGTGTCCGACTCTTCGTGACCCCATGGACCAGAGCACGCCAGGCCCTCCTATCTTCTACTGCCTCCCGGAGTTGTGTCAAATTCATGTTGGTTGCTTCGCAGACACTGTCCAGCCATCTCATCCTCGGTCGTCCCCTTCTCCTCTTGCCATCACACTTTCCCAACATCAGGGTCTTTTCCAGGGAGTCTTTTCTTCTCATTAGATGGCCTTCTTTTAGCCTTTTGAGCTTCAGGATCTGTCCTTCCAGTGAGCACTCAGGGTTGATTTCCTTTAGAACTGATAGGTTTGTTCTCCTTGCAGTCCAGGGGATTCTCAAGAGCCTCCTCCAGCACCACAATTCAAAGGCATCAATTCTTCGGCGGTCAGCAGAAACTTGCACAGTTTTTCTGGCTAGTGATCGCATTACATGTCATACGTATATAAGAAGTCAAATGTAGACAAGTGCAGGGAGGTCTATGTGAGTGGACAGGATTGCAGCCTTATAATAATCACTACCCATAATAGAGAACTCTGTTAAAATCTGCAGGAAAACATGCTGTATAGATATGAGTTAACACATTACATGCCATATATAAGAAGTCAAATGTAGACAAGTGCAGGGAGGTCTATGTGAGTGGACAGGATTGCAGCCTTATAATAATCACTACCCATAATAGAGAACTCTGTTAAAATCTGCAGGAAAACATGCTGTATAGATATGAGTTAATGGCTAGTTGATGTCCTGCATGGTAGACTTTCTAAGCTTCCTTGCCTCTAAACTGGTATCCCACTATCTTCTGCTAGCAAAGCCATTGTAACCCAACCCATCTGGAAGTTGTCAGGCTAGGAAAGAATGAAGGAGATTAACCCTGGGTCCCTTTGGGTCTCACCAGCATAGGCTCGAGCTTTAGTCTTTGTTGATCGAGTTGCCTGCGACAGTGGACGGGTTTTCACCATCAGATGCTTGGTGCTGAGAGCATCGCAGGCTGTGGGAAGAAAATGGACTTTTTAGTTTGAAAGGGAATTAGCAGATACAGGGCCTTGTGACTCCCTGCTCAAAGAACATTAAACATAGGCATAACTGGTTGTTCTGGGTTTTTCGGGCTCTTTGACCGTGTTCTGAAGGTTGTTCTTCCTAACGTTTCGCCAGTTTCTGTGGCCGGCATCTTCAGAGGACAACAACCTGTCCTCTGAAGATGCCGGCCACAGAGACTGGCAAAACGTTAGGAAGAACAACCTTCAGAACACGGCCAAAGAGCCCGAAAAACCCAGAACAACCAGTTATGCCTATGTTTAATGTTCTTTGAGCAGGGAGTCACAAGGCCCTGTATCTGCTAATTCCCTTTCAAACTTAAAAAGTCCATTTTCTTCCCACAGCCTGCGATGCTCTCAGCACCAAGCATCTGATGGTGAAAACCCGTCCACTGTCGCAGGCAACTCGATCAACAAAGACTAAAGCTCGAGCCTATGCTGGTGAGACCCAAAGGGACCCAGGGTTAATCTCCTTCATTCTTTCCTAGCCTGACAACTTCCAGATGGGTTGGGTTACAATGGCTTTGCTAGCAGAAGATAGTGGGATACCAGTTTAGAGGCAAGGAAGCTTAGAAAGTCTACCATGCAGGACATCAACTAGCCATTAACTCATATCTATACAGCATGTTTTCCTGCAGATTTTAACAGAGTTCTCTATTATGGGTAGTGATTATTATAAGGCTGCAATCCTGTCCACTCACATAGACCTCCCTGCACTTGTCTACATTTGACTTCTTATATACGTATGACATGTAATGCGATCACTAGCCAGAAAAACTGTGCAAGTTTCTGCTGTGCTGAAATTCTCCTTACATTGGACTTCCCAAATCCAACAACTGCCTGCTGGATGAAGCAACTGCCATTACTGGTGGTAAATGTGTCCCATTAGTAGTGAACAGTCCTGTTTCTAGTATTAGTGCATGCCAGTCACAATGTTGGTTGCACGGACTGACAACTATAAGAGAGAAAAGATAATAACCATGAACCTGATGCACAAGCTACATTGGGAAAGTCCTCCTCTTACCCTTTATTCCAACATAATGCAGGGTACCATGGGTTCTGTGGTGCCACCTTAGGGACTGGATCCCTAACATGACCCTCTCTCTACCCTTCCCCATATTGCACCATAACAGGCATGCACAGCTTCTGACTGGTAAACTCATGTGGACTGCTTGTATGCTACAGGATAATGTCAGAAAGTAGTGTGTGATCCAATTCCTTTTCTAGTTCTTGACTCACCTCAGCCTCACCAGATGACTTTCAGCTTCTTTTCAGGCAAGTATGCAGTGGGTTGGCTAAACAAGAAAAATGTGACTAAGCCATCTCCCAAGAGGTTCTTAATAGCAACAATACATTTGATTTGCCACAATCTTCTGCTGTTAAGCTCTGAAACTCCCATTTAGATTGGTACATACTTTGTGCTGTCGAAGGAATCGTATTAGTCTGTGATGGGAGAAGCAAGACAAAGGAGATGTGGAAATTAACGATCCAGAGAGAGAAGAAGAGATCTCTAATGTAGCAACCCACTGATGAAATTTCCAAGCACTTTACTCCCACTCTCTTCAGTAAATCCCATGGGTTGAGAAAGAAATTTGTTTGGGAGCACGATGCTCTGATATACATTTGGACACAGTCTCCGTGGTTATGCTCCCAGTACTATGTCAGTAGCTTAATATCTGATTGACTTTAGCTAACTTTAAGAATAATGATAGGCCAGTGTGATGTTAGGGATAGAGTTGTTGCTGCTTCGTTGTTAAGTCGTGTTCGACTCTTCGTGAACCTATGAACCAGAGCACGCCAGGCCCTCCTGTCTGCCACTGCCGGAGTTGGGTCAAATTCATGTTGGTAGCTTTGCTGATGCTGTCCAGCCATCTCGTCCTCTGTCGTCCCCCTTTCCTCTTGCCTTCACACTTTCCAAACATCAGGGTCTTTTCCAGGGCATCTTCTTTGGCCAAAGTATTGGAGCCTTGGCTTCAGAATCAATCCTTCCAGTGAGCACTCAGGGTTGATTTCCTTCAAAATGGATAGGTTTGTTGTCATTGCAGTCCAGGGGGTTCTGAAGAGTATCCTCCAGTACCACAATTCAAAAGCATCAATTCTTTGGTGGTCAGCCTTTATGGTCCAGCTCTCACTTCCATACATCGCTACTGGAAAAACCATAGCTTTAACTATGTGGACCTTTGTTGGCAAGATGTCTCTGCTTTGTAAGATGCTGTCTAGGTTTGTCTTCAATTTCCTCCCAAGAAGCAGGGGTATTTAATTTCGTGGCTGCTGTCACCATCTGCAGTGATCATGGAGCCCAAGAAAGTAAAATCTGTCACTACCTCCATATCTTCCCCTTCTATTTGCCAGGTGGTGATGGAACCAGTAGCCAGGATCTTAGTGCTTCAGACCATTTTTGCACTCTCCTCTTTCACCCTCATCAAGAGGTTCTTTAATTCCTCCTAATTCCAAGGTGCTGATTACACCTTGGATAATTTACATTATCTAAAGAGCCCCCAAACAGGGTCAGGATGGCTGAAGGGTCACCTCTTCCCACCTGAACCAGGCCTATCAGTTATGGATGTCTCTGGAGGTCCTGACTGGCATTTCACTGCCAAGGAAGATGTAAATGACTGAGATTTAGGACAGGTGCTTTTCAAGGGCAATGTCTGCTACAGTTACCCAAGTTAGGGAACTTCCTCCAAGGAGAGACCAAGCTGGTTCATCTTCTGTTCTTGGTTAGATAGGTAGTCAGGGCATTTTTATTCTGCCATGCCTCCCTTACAGGTGTGTGTGTGTGTTTGTTTGTTTTTTTGGCAGTCAGGGCATTTTTATTCTACCATGCCTCCCTTACAGTTTTTTTTTGTCAAGAAGTAGAACACTGCCATTGCTGAAAGCCTCCAGAAGTGGACACCTCCTTGCAGTTTCCTGGGGCATCAAGTCTCCTCTAGCACCAAAGAGGTTCAGCTTTGCTTTAGTGATAACTAACATTTAAAGTGGATGCATATACTTGTGTGTAACCTGAAATGAACATTTAATCACTTTGCTTTAAAATAATTCAGAAAAGGAACAGCTTTTGGTGGACCCCAGAAGGGAAACTGCTCCTCGAACATGCTTTGCTTGGCTGTTCCTGCTATGTAATAGTACAAAAATATTTCAATAATCATTCAGTCATGCATCTAAAGAAGTGGGCTACAGTCTGTGAAAACCTATGTCAAGTAAAACCTAATAATCTTTAAGATGCCACAAGACTCTTTGTTATTTTTGAGGAAATAGACTAACATGGCCATCCACTTAAAAAGTTTCCAGGGGTAATACATTTCCTACCCTGTCCTGTTTAGTTTCCCAAGCAGAAGTTTTATTTATTATTTACTTATGTCATTTATAATATAATCTTAGAACCACAGAGCTGGAAGTTACCCTATGGGTCATTGAGTCCAGCCCCTTTCAAGGAAGCACAGTGGGCATCCGAACCCCCAGCCTCTGGCTCTGCAACCAGATGCCTAAACACGGAGCTATGCTGCCTTTCTCCCCACAGCAAAAGGAACCAAGGCCTCTGGGTATGAACACGGAGCTATGCTGTTTTTCTCCCCACAGAGGACTCAGAGCTGACTTTGTCCCCTACAGCAAAAGGAACCAAGGCCTCTGGGTATGCCATCCAATGTTGGCCGAGTACCTGACAACAAAGCTTTAATATTCTCCCCAGATTTATAAGATGATGTCCTAATGGGCAATGATCCCAGAATTGACTTGTCTTCCCCTGACCATTCACCATCCCCTTTAAAGGGATGGCTTGTTTGAACCTTCACCCTCTAAGCATCCAAGTCAGGCATGGATGCAGAGAGATTGATAGCTGGATGAAAGACCCAGCTGCTGGTGATTTGCTAACAGAATACTCACACTGGGTCTCTAAGCTGCACAGATCAGCACGCGTCCTGTTGGCAAGGGAGTCTATAACTCAGGCAGGCTCCTGTCTGCTTCCCTGAGTACCTGTACCAACAGAAGCCACAGCTATATAGGAAAAGTCTATAAATTCCAGCCACTTCAGTCAATAAAAACAGTAATTCAGATGATTTCACCAGGAAGGTGAATTTGTGGGTGGGCTGGAGCATTTAAGATTAAGCCAGCAAATCAGCGAGGAAATGATGTAACTGCAGCACAAACAGATATGTGCCTCAGTGGATTTAAAAGAAGCCTAGTTACACAAACTGGAGCATTTGGAAACCAAACAACAATACTAGGTCCCAGCAGGATCAAGCCTAAGAAAGATCTGAGGGAGCAGCATGCTCGTAACACCACGTAGCGTGTCAGACTATCAGAGCCCGCGGAGTGCAAGCTGCATGAGTAGCCCTGTCCTCCACAAACCAATGAGTGCAGCAAAGGGGTTGCTTGCTTAGCACAATGGGTAACAAAATGAAGTGAAAGAACTGGAATTTGTCAACAACAGTTTCAGGAAGGTGGGGAGAGAGGGCTTTGTCTCTGTACAGTTTTAGAGCCTTGGTCAAAGCCAGCGTGCTATGCAGCTACCTGGTGCATGCCTGCATCAGGCTGTGGAGCAGATGCATTGTCTCGTATTATTACAAACATGTCTGAAATGTTTTGCATGTCACTGAGAGTGTAAGTCCATTAGAAGCTGGAGTTTCCTGTCTTAGGTTGCTTACAGGAACTATGCACCCTAATGCTGCATTAACACAGTCTCAGCCTCCTGTTCACAGTCTCCTTCCCAGATATTGCTTGTCCTGTGCTGGGAAAGGTTCTGCCAGCGGAGGCACAGGCAGCAAGGAGCAAGAGGACACAGGAAATGAAGACTGTCTGCCACAGCTCAACGCTCTCCAAAGATTTACCCATGATGGAGTGCATTTTCCAAGCAAGCAGGGCACAGCACTGACTCCTGCTCGCTTTCTTGGCTTTCGAGATCGAGAATACAGACAACAAAATATGGTGTGGGGAGGGAAATATGACGTCAGGGTT